AGACAAATGCAAAAATGCATCTTACTGTAGATACACAAAGAAGATAACGTTGGATCCTTTTTCATCTAGTCTTTCTTCTTATTATTAAAATAGGTCATTTTATTGATACTGGAAGAAAGCTATTTCTGCAAGACATTCTTGTGGAGTGGGAACTGAGTAAAGGATTGTCACACTGGTTAGGATGCCATTCCATGGGGAGAGGCAATATGAAAAGCATCACAAGTAAATGGGAGAGGAAGGAGTTTCAGTCATTGACAACAGTTAGGGGAAAGTGCAAGAAGTTAAATGGATGTAAGCAGCAGTTGATAGCACAGAATGTCCTTCTTATCTTGGGAACTAGAAGCAGTACTCCAGATGAGGTATTTCAAGGATGGAAGGATAGGACAGAATCCCCTCCATTGCCCTGCTGCCCACACTGCTTTTGATGCTGCCCAGGACAAGTGTGGCTTTCTGGCTCCAAGCACACATTGCCAGCTCTTGTTGAGTTTCTCATCAACCAGCACCTCCAGATTTTTTCCCTGAGGACTGCTCTCAGTATCAGCGATAAATTCCTTCAAATCGTGACCTAACTTGCTTACCTTAAGATCAGTTACCTAAACCTAACCCATCCGTCCTGGGCTCTTTTTATAGTAATTGGAAAGAAAGTTCTCATTTAAAGAGCAATTCAGCTTGTTTTGAAATATGTGTCAATAGTATGAATTACTCTCTAAAAATATTTTATCTCTACCCTGTGAGTCTTATGAGTATCTACTGCTAGCTTAGTGGTAGACAGCTGGCTTTTAGCTTTCTGTGCTAGGGCGACGTGGATGTGTGAGAAAGCACGGATGTGGCCCAGTCACAGCAGAAAAGAGTGAGACAGCAACATAAAAGCAAGGCAAGAAAATACTGAAAACTATGCAAAGGTCCCTTAACTGCTTTTATTTCAGAGTTATGACTAGAGGGGGATATTTATACCTTCACCTTCTCTGAAGTACACGACTAAGCTTTGTGTACTGCTGGATGCAGCTAATGAGAAGGACTATTCTGATTCTCTGACAGGTATTCTCTGCAGGTATTTTTCATGGTCACGTGTTTGCCGGTTAAAATACTTAGTTGCATAACTCACTTTATTCTGACTAACTGTGTTTTATTTTCTTCTTGTTTAAAGTTTAGCCATTTTGCAGTTTACTACTTTAGAAAGAGTTGGGCTATTTGTTGTAAAAAACAAATTAGTTTCAACTCTCTTACAATGTATTTTATCATGTATTATGAGGACATACATAAAATATTGTGAGTAGGGCAGTTTTCATTAGAAGTATTAGATTTATTTTCCTTCTTGGTTTCACAGAGTTGAAACGTACCATTTTTCAGAGCATGCTGTGAAAATTCTATTTTCTAAGGCTATTCAGAGAAGAGATGATTTAAACTTGGTGCATTTGAGTACAGGCTGTTATTGTTGAAACAGGGTCTTAACACTAAGAAGGAAATTCATGTTTAAAGAGATCAGATAGTGTTATATTATAACTTGTAACTAATGATACTTAAAATTTTGTTTGTATTTCTAATATCTTTTTCGGCATCTGAAAATAGAAGAGGATTTGAGTAAATCTAAAAAAGTAAAATAAATTCTTCTCAGTAGTCTCTTGAGTGTTGAATCAAATTGTTACTTAACTTTTTATCGGGTAGTAGAATAGAAGCCTTTTTTCAATTATGTCCCTTTTTGCTTCTACACCCCTTTTTCCACTGACTGTAATTTTCATTATCAGTAGTAGTATTTCCTGCATGCAAATACTAGTTTCAGATGCTGTTCTGAGATTCTCTGAAGAGTTTTTCCAGTCTTCCCTTTCTTGGGGAGAGACTGGTAAATACTTAAACAAGTTCGTTTTCAAATCAGTCTTTTTTTAAATTGAGCTCTATTTTAAATTTTTAATTAAATTATCAGCTTTTTTGTTATTATTTTTCATATAAATGAAAATAAACAATACCAAAACTCCTTAACATCATCCATAATTGTTAATAAATATTCTTAGTGCCACTGCAGCTTCAAATGTGTATTTCTGTTCTTTTATCTTGCATCCAAGATGTATCATTGTAGGGCCAGAGCAAATCCTAGTCTTTAGAAGACTCACTGTCCTTTCCCTGGACATGAAGTAGAGGTTTTGTTGAAGTTTTTTTTTATGTTTTGGAAAGTTGTTTTAATAAGAAATTCCTGAGATAAAAGTAACCTGACATAAAAACCTAGCCTAGAAATGGCTATCAGTTTGAACATTTCAAATAGTTCCCTGTTGCATATTTCTAAGTTCATTGTAGTAGGCTTTTTCTTCTGAATGATGGTGGCAGTTACTATGGGACAAAAAGACTTCTACACAGGAAAAGTTTGGTTGGTTGGTTGGTTGGTTGATTTTTATAAAAGCACTAATAGACTTAGAAAGTGCATGAAGACCTACTCGAGTGCTGAGTAAAAAATTACATTGCGTTTGGGGAGGGCATCCTGGGTTCTGGTCTCTGGATTTGTACAGAACTGCTTTTGGAGCACCATCCTCATCACACATGGAGCAGAATATGTGAATTTCAACTCCTTCAGACTCATAACTTACCATCTCAACAGGGTCTAGGTTGGAGCTGGTTGCTTCATCTCTCAAAGTGCCTATCCAAGAAGCATTAAAGTTGTATGTTCTGGGGATCTCAAGGTTAAAAAGGAGAAAACTGTTCAGTGAGTTTAAGACACTTCAAGGATGTGAAGTGAGCTATTTTGGGTCTTGGTTTCAGATACCTAAAGGTGTTGTGGGTGTCTGGGTACAATGCATCATATTAAACTTTCAATAAATGCTGGGATGTTACTTACACAAGGATTTCACCAGTAGGACTAGAAGATAATTTTCATACAGATTGGTACAAATAAAAGAACATTATCCAGAAAATACTTTTTGTTTGTTAAGGGTACGTTGTGCTTTTTTACTTTGTTTTCCAGCCATTCCATTTGAACCATTTGCACTGTATTGACCTGCTCTGAGCCTTGAGGGAGGTTGTTAAAGTCTGTAACGTGAACCCACAGAGGTGTCAAATATTAACAAGTGTTCTCTGCCCTGCTGATGCTGAACGTTGATCTGCCTCAGACATCAAGAAACTGAGAGAGCTAGTTTGTAATTGTTGCCTTTCCTGTTCTCTCAGATGGTTGGGTAAGGAGGCTGAAATGTTTGTCCTCTAGCTATTTGACTTTATATAGGAACTCCCATCACCCTCATCTTCACAGTAGCAGGATCCAACCCAGTAGCATACTAATCAATGTGACTAACATCTGTCTCCTGGAGTGCATTGTTTCTCTCATCCTGTCCCCAGAAGCAAGATTGTGTATTTAGCTAGATAATGTTAAATATATCACTGTCATCTGCAGGGATATGTTTTTAGCTCTACTTTTTGCTGTGAGTTCATACTGATGCAGACAAGTCAAAACAGTGCATTACCAACAAAATTGAAGACGATGGGATTTGTGTGGACTTCAGATCCTGGGAGAGGCCATTCCCAGTTCGAAAATGAAAATTCCCTTCTGCTCAGAAAGGTTTTAACTTACTGCAGCTGACACAGTGAAGTCACTATGCAAAGTCCTGCCCTTCCTTCAGGACTTAGAGCACCACAGGGATGAAACCTCCCACCTGGAATCCACACTTACCTTCACTGCTGGCTAGCCCAGAGGAACAGGCAAATTTTATATGCTTGACCTAAGGATTCATAACTGAATGCTTCCTGCACAGAATGTTTTCTTGAATTTAGGAATGCCAGTGAAGTCTTGTTCAATACCACTGGGGAGTTTAATTAGCAGAAATAATGAAGTACCAGACTAACTGTATTTTGTGTGATTATGATAGTATACTAGAGTGATTTTTTATTAGACTGCTGTTATTTTGAAGCTGCCTCATGCTGTCCTTTCTCCTCCAACCTGGCTAAATTTTGCATAGCTTGTGGGGGGGAAAATTGCCTTTTGTCTAATTAATATCAAGTCAAAGTTTTTTAAGAAGTCCACTATTTCCTTTAGCATTTCCCTTAACAGCAGAGTTTTCTTTTGACAACAAAATGTTTCATTGCAATTTAACTACTAATACTGACTCCAAAAAATCCTAGAGAAATTTTTAAAGAGTTTCCATACAGCATTTCTTACCTACTCTGTTGTCATATGAAAAGAGCATATCAAAAGTCATCCCTTGAATTATATCTTTATTTATTTATTGTGTGGTTCCTGAACATTCTGTGGTTCAGAGACAGCTACAATGGATCACCATTACCTATGACTTCCTCAGTGGAAAATTCAGGCATTAGATGAGCTGAATCACCTTCTGAAGTCACTTGTGTCTCTCTGTCTTAGGCAAATTGAGCATCTGTCTGAGATCTTCAGTTGAGAACCTTAAGTTAGATGGGAGGAACCTGTACTAAAGTGTTGGTTAATTTGTCACAGAAAAGCATGCCTTTAAAAAGAGTAGGATGCTTAGTAAAAGTAAAGGGGCTTACTCTGCATTATTTATAAAAGTCATATGCCATTGCTTCACAAAAATTGTTTCTCATGTTTTGTTTTGTTGTTTTGCATTTTTTTGATAGACTGAATATTAAGGTTTTATCGCAAACACCATTCTTAATAGTGTAGAACAGTCAATATCTTTGACCTGCCATTTGTTCATTTCTCCTGTAGGTATTTATGGAACCACTTATGTAACAAACTGCTCGGAAGTTGTTGGTTTTATTATCATTCATCAGTATTCTACACAGATCCCACTGAAGCTCTGTGGTTTGGACAATGCACCGCAGTTTACCAGTGAATAAGCTGAGTTCTTAAATGAGTGACTGATTTCTTTACTCTTGCAATGTACAGGTTGTTCATCACAATTCACAGTTCTCTTCAGTCAGCTGCATGTTTCACATTATCGTGGGCAAACATGACATGCACGTGTTGATGCAATTTATTTTTACAGCTTGATAATATGCATTGATTTATTGCTCTTCTAAGCCATGGTGTTCTGTTTTCCCCTTAGGGATATGATGATGGATATGGGGGTGAATATGATGATCCAAGCTATGAGGCATATGATAACAGTTATGCCACCCAAACACAAAGGTAAGCATTTATGCTTTTGCATTATTTCTACAAAATACACTTCATAGTTTTTCATGTAAATTTTCTGGTTTGTTTTCCACAATAAATTTTACAAGATCTTGGAGTACTGTAGAAAGCTATCAAAACGTAATAATGACAATCATCGTTTGTACATAGAGATTCATATGATGCAAAAATGTAAGCAGCTGCGCTTTTAAAATTGGTACAAATTAAGTGTATTTTTTTTAACAAGAAATTATATAATTTTCTTATTTGATGTTATTCTGAACTTGTTTGTGCCCTTTTTTTATCCTTTACTGGTGACAGTTTGTGAAGGGCATCTCATACTTAAGGCTTTTACTGTGTTTTGGGAAAAAAACAGAAGGAAATTCTGAAAATAGTTGTGATGGTAACCTGCTTCTGGTTGGCATCAAGGTAAACTACAGAAGAGAATTACGTGCCAGAAGTAATGCTGAATCTGTTTCCAACCAGTTTTTTTCTAAGGAACTCTCAGAATTTATAAGTTTGCAAATATATTTTTTTGTCCTTGTGATGTGGAATAATAGGAAAAGGCTAATTTCACATCTTATATTGATACGTGTCAATAAGATGAGGCAACAAAAAATATCCCTTTTTTATATACGTACACCTCACACACTCATCCATTAATTTGATAGTCAGTGCTTGTTTATTAAATATGGAAAGGCACTTTTTTCACATTTAAGCTAGAGAATAAAAGGGTCCTTCAGTCAGCTATTTAGAAAGTCCTCTTATGCATTGCTAAACACACTTATAAGGTTGTGGGAAGGCAAATTAAATTTTAACAAGAAAAGACAGAGATTTTAACTGAGTTAGTGTGGTTCTCACTGAGTGAAAAAGTGATGTATATGCATAGAGTTCTACACACCTAAGGCCAGAAGACCTTAAACTTGCTTTTTTGTTTAGCCATCTTTTTCACTGAATGTTTTGCTCATGTAAATGCCTGTCAGAATTATGTTCAGCTCCAGAACTGCTGCAGTGAGTGATACTTCAGTGGATAAAAAATACTTTATAAGTATTTTTATATCCAGTGAAGTATATTTAAAAGGATTTGTCACACCTAAATGTGAACCCTATCAAGTGTATTTTTACACTTTCAAGTAATTGTACATTATTAGCTGCACCCGTCATGTCATTGTGTAGGTAGGTATTCTTGTTGTCAAATGTACGTCAACTTTTCTTAAAAAATTCAGCTTATCTTTTGCTACAAGAGTGAATTGTCACAGGAGATATTTCTTCTGATGTAAAAACAATAATTAGTTGGAAATCTCTTGCTATGACATTGCTTTATATCATCTGAATTAACCTGTAATTTCTTTGCAAGTTGATGTTCCAGGCAACTAAATGACAAATATATCAACTTTATGAGAAGTGTATTATAATGCATCTAGAACTAGTAGTGATAATTTGATACAAGAAAAAAAATTATAGTCACATAATTTAGTCAATTAAACAGCTATTAAGTTTAGTCATCAGATATGTTTTCTACTAATTTGAGCTACCTCCAGGATACCTAATCTGTTTAACCTAATCTGTTTAAAACATCCCCTTTTGAAATATATGGCAGAACATGTGGCTATATTTACTCATGTTGAGTGGCACTTAATGCCTCAAGTAGCCTATTGATTTCAAAGAGAGCACTTTCAGAGCTACATGGTTCTCATTTCAAAGATTTAAAGAACAAATGGGCCATTAAATACATAATTTGTATTTCTGCACCTTATTGGCCATTTAGCTTCACAGAAATGCCTGCTTACTGAGCAAAAAATAAAAGTAATAATGCAATAGTATGAAGTAGTGTGCCCAAAGTATTTGGTTAGATGCATATTTCAAAATTTTCTCCAGGTTTTCTCCAAGTCTTAGATCTTGCTTAGTAGTATACTCTAATCATATGAGACATATCATGTGCACACCTAACAAAGAAGATAAGTAGTACTGCTCCAAAGTACTTACTCATCTCATCAGGTGTGTCATTTAAAGGAAAAAAAATTAACAAAAACTTGCCAAGAATGTCCGTGCTCAGACAGAAAATTATCATTGCTTCTCTCTACAGAAATTCTAAAACATGTGAGGAGAAGAAATTGTAGTTAGTGGCTTAATGCAGAGTACCAAGATTTCTGTTCATGTTAAGGGCAGAGTTTCCCATTGCTTTTTATGGCTTGTTAGGGAATCAATGTGGAAGTTCTTAGAGATGGTACATACTTTTGTCTGACTGTTTGTCTTGCTGTGCATGTTGACCAAGCCTTATTCTCTTCATTGCTTCAAAAAGAAGAACATGTTGGGGTGGAGGGTCTGAGCTCAGGCTGACTTTTGTGTGCTTTAGAGCAGAGCTCATGCCCTGTTCCCCTGCTCAGCCATGGACAGAGTAAAGATAGCATTTGGGCAGCCTGCCACCACCATCCCTGTTAGCCCTGCCTTTGTCTTCCATTTGCCTACTTCCCATTTGCCAGAGTCTTTCTGCCCATATAAACTTCATTTAGGGGGCCTTAGTTGTCCAAGAGGTCTGATTTGGAATTTTGCAAACTGAACTCTGCCAACAGCAGAGAAAACAAGCACAGTAGTGACATGCATGGTGCTACAACAGAGAATTATGATTTAGTAGAAGAAACACCACAAATACCAATCCCCAAAACCATTCAGATGCTGTACTTCAGTGCACAATTATCTAAAAGTTTGTACTAAAAAGCAGGGATTGTGTTGCAGGTCCAACAATACACTTGGTATAGGTCCTTCTCTAATGGACTTCTAATAATGAACTTCTCCAAACACAAAGCTCTGTCCTTCATGACAGCAGTCTGATTTTTAGGCTGAAACTAGGGGGATGGGGTCACCTGTGGAAGAGGTTACAGAATCAGGGTGGAATGGAAGTAAATCTGCGTGTCTGAACAAGCTAAAAAGCGTCTCAAGCATACTTTGAAATGGAGCAAAGAAGCAACTTGGAAGAGAAAAGCAGGACTCTCACTATGGTAAGTGCCACCTCTACTTTATTAAGTTGGGGAGGCTTGTTTTAGAAATAAGAGAATTATGGGTTATGACAGTCTGTATTGCATGGAGGTATGTCTTGCTTTAAATAGCAGAAGATGAACGTGTAAAGCCACTTTTTCCCTCCTTATGTTCCTGTCCCATAATGACAACCCAGAACGCAAGATGGAACCTCAGGACAGATTTAAATGAACTGTCTGTCCTTCCCAACTGAGTCTGTAAGCATTGTGTGCAGGATTCTATGAAAGACTACACATTTTCTGAGGATATTCAGAAACCCTATTCATTTTAGAAATTTTTTAATACAGATGTCAAAATACAGTTTTTAAGGTAATTACAGTGAATGCTTTGTCCAATACCAAAAAGAATAAGGAAACAGCCATATCAGTGGGCAGGACAAGACACCAGATCTGACATATTTCCCATGGGCAATATTGCACTATAATTTGAATATGTTGATGAAACCTTGTTTTCCTCTCTCTTCCACTCCTTTCCATATAATGGGATCTCACTGATAAGAATATCTGCCTGTTCAGACACACCAAGAGATATTCAGTAGTTGTTAAGTTCATACACTTTTTATGTACTTGAAAATAAGGCAGAGGACACTCAAAACCTTTCTGCCAGATAGATTTACCTCCCAAACCTCTAGTCTGACAACTTTTTTAAAAAATATAGACATAATGTACAAAATGGTAGAAGTGTTAATTTCCAACTCATCTGTAACACAGAAAATGTAGGAGAATCCTATAAGCTTTCAAAATGTAATATACTTTTTGATTTTCTTACCAGGAACTTCTTAATGTGTTGAGCTGTCACCACTGTCCAGGAGCCATGGGTTGAGATCACTAGATCACCTGAAGAAAAAGATGCAAAGTTTTGTGAGGAGATGCAGAAGATCAGCCTCTTTGGTTGCTCAGAGGTTGTTAGGGATTAGCCTGTCCAACATGCAAAGTGTGGCCAGACTCCTCAGCCAAGACCACCAGAATAATTTGGTGGAAATGGGTCATTTGCTGATGAATCGTGATGGCCAACAGAGTCATCTTCAGCTCTGCTACCACATCTGCAGTCATCTCCACTGGCCTTTGTGTCTCTGCCAGCACCAACAGTTTCATTTCAAAGATAGCGTGTCTCACAGCCAAAAGAGTTATCAAGGAAACCGGGGACTGACTGGCCAGTCATGGGATGAACCAGGAAGGGGGGATTCTCTTTAATCCACTTGTGCCCAACTTAGCCATACGTGGTATAAACAGTGGTGCTTCACAGGGAGGAGCAAAGGAAGTCAATGGTTTTCTGATGAAGCTTAAAATTTGAGTTTGATGTTATTTCCCTGTTCCACAATGCCTGGCATGAACACTCATCCATCAATCCATTCTGGTTTTTGTGAACAGGTAGATGGTATATTGGCAATGGCTTTCGGGTCTGGTTGCCTGGCTTTTTATTCTGCCTTTTTTCTGTATGACTTTTGTTAAAAGCATAGTTCAGCAGCAAAATGAGTTGCCGAGTGTGTGCTGTCTAAAGAAAGAAAAGCTTATGACTCCCACCTTAGGCTGTAAATAGACTTGTAAATATCAGGAAACCCATCACTTACTGACAAGAAGACTAAATAATTCAGTGGTAAAAGACAGATGAAAATAGTGCACAACGTTGCTGTTACAGATTCCATCCCACAGCAGTACAGGCCCTTGTGATGGCATGTTGTCATCCTTGCTGTGACTGCAAAATGACATAGGTAAAAAGCATTTCTCATGCCTGCCTGCACCTAGCCTCACTAATAATAATAAAAGTAACCTAACCTTGGCTAGTATTTAGTATTAGTCTTGCAAAAAAATTCTGTAATGCTTTAGGCAGAAGTCCTCTGGACAGACATTTCATGCTGCTATGCCTATCATTTAGGCCTAAGAACTTCTTTTTGGTCTATCAAACTCACACTTCATACCCATCCTGCATCTGCTGATAATAATCAAACTTCTGTTTCTGATGCAGAATTGCATATTATA